CATAATTGGCCTTCCAGATTTTGAAGCACTTTTGGCAATTTACTTTTCACTTTTTATACCACAAATTATATATATATGTGTTCACTATATTACAAGGAATATAAAAAAGTATAATACTTTCGTTTTTAGTCCAGACACAAATATAAAATTCTATAAAAAAGACGGAACACCTTTATCAAAACGGCACGTGGAACGCCGAAAGTTCAGAGTGATTTCTTTTTTTTTTTTCTAAGAAACATTGCCAGGTTATGGTTTAAAATAAAAGAGCATATCTTTGTCTTTGATACTAATATCTATTGCATAGTGTCTTTGGTTTTGTTTAAAACGAAAAAATAGTTTTTTCATAGGTAGACATGTTTACATAATTCTGATCTAATTCGATCACTACTTGGCGGGCGTAAGGTTGGTATTGCGCGATCTAATGTGAGCAGGGCTTGGTTAACAGGTCATGATTTTGTCAATGTTTGTGTTGGGCTCGTAAAAATAACGCGAGAAAAAATATCGTTGTTTCTTTCCTTCTCGTTGTTTTAAATTTCCATTTAAAAATATTCAAAATTACTATATCGGAAAAAAAACTAAAAATGTTAATTCTGTGTTATTTTTTTCGTTTGCAACTTACAGTAATTATGTAAATACATATAACTCTCAGGTTTGCACAATTAATTGGCCTATTAATTGAATAAAATAAAATAATTAACTATTATCTGAATTCTATTAAGAGATGCCATGAATTAAAAGATGGAAAAATAACGTTTGTCAACTTTTTCATCTCGAAAAAAATTTCTCAAATTATTTTATACGTTTGGGTGTGTTCAGAATCGAAACTAAGTTAAATGTAACGTGCGAACAAAAAGCACAAAATTATCTCATCACTTTCCGCAGGTTTCCTACAATAGAACAAGAAAAACTTATGACAATATTGTGGCAAGTCTTTAAACATTTTGAATTTATTGACCGTTATTTGTAGGCATTATTACTATATCGACTGGAATTTTATCTGTTTCAGATCATTTGTTTGGGTTGAGTTAAGTTTAAGTTTTAGTTTTACTAATTTATATTTACGTTTATAGTCTGTGAAGAATAACTCTCTAACTAAAACATATATTACATACTCGTATCAATAACATGCGTGAAAATATTATGTGCAATTTAAATACATCAATAATTATAAATGGTTTATAAAACAATCTGTCATTTAAAAATAAAATTACATAACTATACCTATTCGTAGTTTTATTTTATTCCACATGCTGATCTAAAGTAAATTCGAGAAATTTTGGAGCAACCTCTCAAATGTATGGGAATTTACCCCATAGGTTTATGAGGCTTGGGCCAAAATTACTGGAATATTTCTTAAATAAACAATTTATAGACTGTGCTAAAACTGTGAGTATAAGCACAGTCTATAAATCCATATCCTAATATCATCCTATATATCATACTGTGGTATAAGGCTGTATAAAAAGGTAATGTAAATACAAAAATAAGGTCGGTATGTAAATACAGATTGAATAAATTAAAAATTTATTCAATCTGTATAAAAAGGGTTCATTCCTTCGCTATGAACAAGCATATTTCAAATTTATGAAAAATAAAGTGAACTTTAAATTTTGTAGCGGAGCGATTTGCTTCCTGCAGCAAGTTCAATAAATAAGGATAAAGACCATTAGTGACGGTCCAGCAAATCTTTGGCCGCCGAACGCCACTTACTTAGACTTAAAGTGTTGCGGAAGCTATTCCGTTAAAGATTTTGGATTGTAGCGTCCATTTTAAGAAATATTTCGTAAGAAAGCGCAATTTCATCACTGGGTGCAAATATCATCAAATATCAAAATCAATATAGTTTCTAACCATTTTAAACCATGATCTTTGAGTATTAAACCAATAATACTCAAAGGCAATGGCGTGCAAAATCTTTCAATTTTGGTACCTAATAACAATCTATTATATATATATATATATATATATATATATATATATATATATATATATATATATAATTATATATATATTAGTATTTTATTAAATTTTTATTATTAAATTTCCTTTATCGTCAAGATTTTGAATTTGATAAATGTCAATTACCTAAAAATTCGTGGAGGTTAGAGAGAAGGAGAACGATCGCTACCACAGAAATCGTAATAATAAGACAATAGAAATGAATTAGCGCTCGATTACTTCCAAAACCGATGTCGCCACATCTTACCGTATATTTGTTATAAACATAGGCAATGAAAAATTATATCTAATGTTTCACATTACATTGCTAGGCGAGTTTGTCAACGTCGCGTATGTCGCGTATTACGGTAAAACAAAAGCGGCAATGGTAATTATACAATACAGTAAAGTATTCATCTAGATGTAAATTAATTAAAACAGTGATAATTAGTAAATAATCAACTTACTGATGACATGTTATGCCTTTATTAGTTTAATTATACGTCCTTGATGAGTTTTTACCACTGATTTAACATTATTTACAACATTACTTATTATTAATGCAAAAAAAGTGCACGAGTAAGCGGTGACATTCGAATCGCTTAGTGTATAATACTAGGAGCTAGACATGGGTAGTTCGCGAACGATTGAAGGAAATGAACTACTTCATTTCGCAAAATAAACTTATCATTCATTCAGTATCATTAAAAATGTGTCTCTACTTCATTTAGTTCAGCCTTTCTTTTCGCTCCACCACTCACTAGCACATGCTCGTCATTCGTTCGTGTCACTTCGGCGCCGGCCGGTCGGCTTCGGCTGGAGTTGGCCGGCCGACGTGTAGGCGCGGCGCAGCGGGGCGTTTTTGCCTAGGCCTACACGACACACGTGCACGAAAGGTCAAATAATATTATGCAACAGTGTAGTTAGTCTAAACATACTAATATGAGCTTTCTGTTTATACCAATAAAGTTTAATTTAGCGTACAAAAATGTACGTCGAAGGATCGGCAATATCGACAACTCTCTTTATGTAGCATTGCTATTGCAATCAAAACTGAGCTTTTTGCGGTGGAGATAAAGTGTAATAATTTAGAATTTGAATTCCTTACTCGCATAGTTCACAAGTTGAGTTCGACTTGAGGTTGAGGACAAACGGAAACGGAATGCACTAATAGTCTAACACTGCACTTGTTGACTTGTGCGGTGCGTTACGTTTATTGTAGGTAGCTATAGCTAAAATTGTGTTATCGTATTTATCCTCTATCAGTTTTAAAAATATAATGATTAATTGAACTAAAAGTGACAATATAGATAGAAAGGAAAGTACTGTGTGGTGGAACTATTTAACGGAAAAAGGACCCAAAAAGACGAATTCGTACTCTCACTGTTCTAGTAGCTATATTTTTGTGTTAACGTATAAATTACATATCTACTTAAGTGAAGTGCATCATTCGTCGTAACTCACTCATCAATCACACTTGCGAGCTCGATATCCTAGGGTTACGGACTCGTTTTGGTTTGCTGAACTAAATGAAGTACTGAACTAAATGAGTGGACTACTTCATAGAGCGAAAAGATATACTTCATTCATTTCTTTTCACTGACACATTTTGCGCATGTCTACTAGGAGCGCTGAAGATTAAGGAAGCGAAACGCTGTGTGTGAGAGAGTAAGCTGACGACAGTATAAGAAGTGTGGAGATATTTTACTGTGTTTAGACGTTTAAAGTTAATTGATAGCCAATAATATCGTGCGACTGACTGACTGTCATTACACGTATATTTGTTAGGACTATCCATTGGATATATATAAATACACCTATACAGTAACACTGCAGTGCCGTCCGCTATTCATTTAGGCCTATAACATTACTTTCTGTATAATGTCACTTCAAAGGACTCCTCCTAGCATGCTACCATCCATCGCAACAGAAAATTCTCCTACGCGTTATCTATCTGACTCTGCGCTTAACACGACTAGCATTGAAAAAGATGAAGGGCAGCTCTCAAATGTTAACTATAATCGACGAATTAAAAGAAAATTTGATGATAATTTATCGGATAACTCTGTGATGCAAGAGATGAAACAAATGATTGCCGACATGCAGGTGCAACAAGACTACAAATTTCAGACATTTAGTGATACACTGAAAAAAATCGGAGAACAGAACTACGCAATTCAGCAATTTATTGAATTTCTATCGGCTAAATATGATAATGTTCTAAAAAAAATGGAAAGTCTACATAAGGAGAATGAAGGATGTAAGTCTCGAATAACACTTCTCGAAAACAAGATAGAACTTATGGAACGCTCTGCTCTTGCCTCCACCATCGAAATTAGAAATGTACCCAAGATGCGATTCGAAAATAAACAGGCTCTTTGTGAATTATTGAAACATGTTGGCTTAGCCCTTAATCAGCCAATCGAGGACAACGATATCTGTGACATTTACCGTATAAAATCCAAGTTTAAAGAGGATACCCCCATAATCGCAAGGTTGAATACCACCTCCATTAAGGAGTCAATAATTCGCTCAGTAAAATCATTTAATAAACAAAACCGGGATATGAAACTTTCTTCTAAACACCTACAATTCGACGGACCACCACGGCCAATATTTGTCTGCGAAGCTTTGACTGCCAAAGCTAGGCGGTTATTTCACCTTGCTAAAGAATTTGCTAAGACTAATAATTATAACAGATGCTGGATCTCATACGGAAAAATTTTTCTAAGGAAGATAGATGGCTTGCCGTCCATAATGGTGGCACTTCACATGGCTATTTGTATTTGCGTATTTGGGGTATTCGACAAATAACTTCCATGTGTGGAGAGTATATTTGCCATAATTATTGCCGTATTTGCCTATTTGGCAAATATAGCCAATAACAAATACGGCTTACCGATCGTCTGTCGGTTTTTTAAGGCACATCAAAGGAGACAAATAGGCAAATACGCAAATATACTGGCCACACATGGTCGGGCTCATAAGCGCGCGAACTGTCAACCAGTACGGACGGACCTGTTTATAACCTTAATAAGTAATTATTTAGATACATACGGAAAATGAATTGGGACAAAGAAACCGTTGTAAGGTTTTTAGAACTTTACCAAATGAACCCATGCATTTGGGACCCTGGAAACGAGGGGCATAAAAACCGGCAAAGAGTAAACGACGCGTGGAATACAATTAAAGACAATTTGGGTGTACCATGTACCCTGCAAGATTTAAAAAAAAAGAAGGAGTCGCTTATGTCTGCGTACCGAGGTTACAAAACCAAAATAAAGAAAAGCGAACGATCCGGATCAGGTGCATCCGATGTGTATCAACCAAGTTGGTTTGCATTTGCATTCATGGATAGTTTTTTGAATTCTGTTTATACCTGCAACAGTACCATAAACACTGTGGTAAGTAATAATACATTTATAGAAGACAATTTCTTTTTGTATATAGAATGGGCCCACCACAAATTTTAGCTACAATTAATGAAATGCATGTCAATTTATTCCTTATCATCTATAAATTACAAAATTAATATTAGTTTTACCGCATCTAACGGGAATACTGAAAAATTAAAAATAAAAATATGAATATCACAATAACCTATAAACAAACTAAAAACCTGTGCTTGCGCATACACTTGGGCACTATAATCCTGTCCTGCGCAGATGGCTAGTCTCCGTTGAGGCTGGCCGCCGTGGCCGAAATTCGGTCTGGAGGACATTATTATTATTATTATCTATAAAAAAAATATAACTACCTATAAATTTTATAATAATAATTTTATTTTATTTTCAAATAATAAACAGATAGGTAAGTTTACAGATCAATCAGTTTCATGTATTATAAAAGTAATTAGCAAAGTCGTTTCTGATTTCGACTGGATTCCTTGGAGATCTTCTAGGAATGTTACGAATATCACGCAGTGCTGGGTTGTTGGGAATATCGGCCCTCCATGACCCTGGTATTATTAAGTCGTCTCCATCATTCAGGTCGAATGTACCAGGTGGATTATATACATTTCTAGACAGTCTACTTCTTCTCAAAAAGTTGTGTAGAACTACACACGCCATGACTACTTGGCTAGCTGATTCAGGTTCAAGTAGCATAGGCGAACGTAGCACTCTAAATATAGCAGACATAACACCAAATACATTTTCAACGATAACACGGGCTGATGAAAGCTTCTTGTTGAAAATTCTTTCTTTGGTGCCTTCTCGATGATTCCCTGGATATGGTTTCATGATATTGTTATGTAAGGCAAATGCTCCATCACCTAAGAATACATATGGCAAGTCACCATTTCCATTTTGTAGTGGAATTGGTGCTGGTAGCCCCAACGTATTATTGTTTATTTTATTCCACAGAACGGAGTTTTTCAAAACGCCTCCATCACTTATCCTCCCTTGACATCCCACGTCGGCATACATAAAGCAGTAATTACTATCAACCAAAGCTAATAAAACGATGCTAAAAGATTTTTTGTAGTTGTAATATTCTGAGCCACTGTTAACTGGAGACTGTATCACTACATGTTTTCCATCTATCGCACCTATGCAGTGCGGGAAACGTTGATGGAAGCCACCTTCTATGTCCAACCAGTCTTGTTCTACCACGGGCAACTGTAACAAAAATATTAATGTTATTTATACTTGCAGGATGAAGAACTTACGATTAATGAAGATCAAAACACAGAACAGGGCCCTATAGATCAAAATATTAGAAGCCAAGAACAACAGGAATTAAATTCAAATGAACAACAGGGTTCAACAGCAAGACCAATATTGCATAGAAGAAGACAAAATAATCCACCTGAACTTATAGAAGCGAAAAAACGAATGGATGAAGCATATAGTTTTATGAAGCAACATTCCCAGCTGCAGCTAAAGGATGAAGATGATGAATGCTCTACCTTTGGGGTACTTGTGGCTAGAAAGCTACGAAAACTTTCTGAACAACGCCGAGACATCATGATGGCAAAAATACATGAGCTATTTGTCGATGAACACGTCTACAACTTCAATTTGCCTAATTATTCTTCCAGTCGCCCAAATTCTGCTGCAACAATGCTATCATACACACCATCACCACCCCAAATCAATATCGCATCTCCGTCAGCGGTTGCAAGTTCGCCAAAGGTTGCATATCCGACAGATGTGGCATCTCTGAATTCTGCTACCAGTCAACCTAATTCTGATGCAACAATGTTATCGTATACACCATCACCACCGCAAAGCAATATCGCATCTCCTCCACAGGTTGCATTTCCGACAGAAGTGGAATATCTTAATTGTGTTAACAGTTATCCAAATTCTACAAAGGTTTTGTATACGTCATCTTCACCGCAAATGGATGCTCCTTCTCCTGCATATCATGTTGAATACTCAGAATACTCTAATGATACTCCTTTGAATCTACCGAATCCTACTTCTAGAATGGTGTCGTATACACCATCACCATCGCAAATACCTCGAGGGAAAAATAATTAATAGCATATTTAATACCTACTTAAAAATAATTTGATTACGATTAATAAAAGTTAATGAAAATTATATATGTTGTTTACCTTGATTTGATCCTTTAGAACCTGATATAAAGCAGCACACACTTCCATTATAATTCTTGAGATTATTTGACTTGATATCTTGAAGGTATAGTGAAGGCTTCTATAACTGTCTCCTGATGCAAGGAATCGTAAAGTAATCGCTAATCTAACTTTTGCAGGTATAGCTTCTCTCCATTTTGTATCCTTTTTAGAAATTATGGGATGGACTTTTTTGTAACAAAAAAATTAAAATCTGCATAAGACATTCGGCAGAAATTATCAAACTCGTTAGAGGGTTCTGCTAACATTTCTTGAAACCTTGTCTCCATAGATTCCCTGGAAATATAAATAACTTTTATTGTGTATTTACAACCTAAAACCGAGGAGTCTCTTAGAGATAAATTTAAAGAAATTAATATATTAACTTTGGCCTCTCAGTATATTTACCAAAATTTTATGTATGTTCACAAGAACATAGACAGTTTTAGTAAAAAGTGATATACACTCTGTAAACACTAGGAACAAACACAAGCTAGTGACCTATATCTCGAGTCCATAAAGTCAGTAACCCGTTCTTGGGGCAATGTATACGCTATTACTATGGAGTGTCTACTCTACACTCCATAGCTATTACCAAGTTTAAATATTTAATTAATGAAAAACTCTATAAAAAGGGCTAATATAAATGAATACATGGTTGATAATAAACCCTGGGAACGAGGTAGTCGCTTGCAATCTGTTTCTAAAATAAATTGTAAATAGTTTGTAACCATTTATATTGTAAAATTTATTTTAAAAAAAATCCTGCTGGATTTCTTGCTAGTTCTTCTCAGGACAGAGGGTTTTTTTTCCAACCAGTGGTAAAGTAAAAAAATACTTTCAATAAGAATTACACATGTGATCTATATTGAATAAAAAATTATTCTATTCTATTCTGTATATACTAATTAGATTTAGGTTCTTATTTTATTGGAATTTTCGTTAATATGATTTGCGTGTCATGCAAAAGTCATTCTACAAATGAAATAAACAAATTACTTACTTGGTTCGATTTTTATGCACAGTCAGCATCCACCATCGCCTTGCTCTTGGTCTTTTTTTTATCACTTTGTATTTTTTTACGCATAACATGTAATAGTAACATGCGTTCAAATAATAAAATCCAGCTGAAAGTGCAACGTCCATTTTATAGGTACAACTACTTTACGCTGGCAAACATGTTTCATTTTTTGGTATTTGGCTCCATGTGTGGACGGTTATATCGTTTATTTGCCCTTACGTCAATTTTTTTGCCAAATACGGCAACATGCTATCACAAATACCAAATAGCCATGTGAAGTGCCACTATAAAAATCGATTCGGAAGAAGACTTAAACAGACTGAAGTGACTAGGCTCAGTGAACAAAATAAATATTGCTCCATTTTCTGATTGGTCTATTATATACGAGTATAAGATGGTACACTTTTGCATGCTTTTTCTGTATTTTACTTTTATTAACATAATTATATATTATATTTTACATTGCAACACACATTCATACTTTTTACGCATAAAACATAAACTTCTGCCTATTATATTTACAGACAATAAAAAATTTAATTATATTTACAAAACCAAACGTATGCTTACATTTTATTACGATGGAGTGAATAAAAAAACAGTACTTTGTGTTATTAAAATATACTACACCTTCTTTCAAATTATATTTGAATTCCCATACTTAATATTAGTTTTTTTGCGATAATAATTTGAAGACAATAATTGGTATTCGTTATAAATCCATGTGTTATTGTCGTGCTTTACAGACTTTGACTATAATTATAAGACCAATAAAAAAATATTTCCATAAAACAATACGAATAATTATCACAATATCCCAATCGTTTGAAATGCTTCTCATTACTCTAAATGTATTATTACCTATTGTGGTTATAAATAAATTTCCCTGTGTTAAGCAGTATATTGCATTCGTAAGTCTTGGATTGTTTTTGGTGGAATATAAACTGCTAATGTATATCTTAGAGCGTCCATTGGTTACTATACCCGCAAATTATATAAGGCATGCACTTTCATCTTACCTACTACTTAATAAAATAAAAAAAATTAGGAATTTCAACAAAATAATAGTGCATCTAACCTTGTTTAGTATTTTTAGACTTTTTGTGTTTAAAATTCGTTATTACTTTCTTATAATAATATACTTTGGTTTATTTTTTACACAATATTCATTACTTATGTATAATATATCGGCATCAATTGATTGGAATAAGCAGCTATCTCTTTATAAAATTCAATAATTTAAATGAAATTACACAGAATGTTGACAATGTTACTGTATCGGATACGGCGAGATGCGATACACAAAACTTCTATTTATTAAATATTGACGAAAGTACATGCCTCACAATAATACAACAAAACATTCGCAGTATCTCACGTAATATAGATGACTTCCTAGTTCTTTTAACGCAAATTAGAATACAATGTGATATTATTATTTTAACCGAGTGTTGGCTATTGTGTAATTCCATAATACCACAAATACCTGGCTACACATATTACAAGTCTATAAAGACCTATAACCAAAATGATGGTATCGTAATTTATTACAAAAATGATATTGGGGTTTTAATTACGGAACCCATGTTTTCTGAAGGAAACTGTGTGGTAATAAAACACAAAAGTATTGCTATAGTTGCAATTTATCGTTCGCCTAGCTTTCAAAATGTAGACTTGTTTTTACAATCTTTAAATGTAATTCTTACGTCGTTGTCTTCCCATAAAAACTTATCTGTGATGGGCGATATAAATATAGATATAGCAAATTATACAACGGATAACAGATCAACTGAGTATCTTAATCTAAATGCATTTCACGGACTTCTTCCTGCTCATAATATGCCTACTAGGCTCAATGCCTGTTTAGATCACGTTATGATGCGGTCAACTATGGCAGCCACTACAGTAGTGTGTAATTCGACGGTAACTGACCATCAAGCTGTGATATTATGTTTAAACAACAAGCAAAAAAATAATTTAACATCTAGAACTCGAACAAAAATTGATTATGACAAAATTAAACTAGAATTAGAACAAAATAACTTTGATTTTGTATTCAAATGTTCTAACGCAAATGAGGCTGCTACACTTTTTGTATCATATTTCCAACAATTATTAATAGCGAATACAATTAAAGCTACAATTTCGAACCGCTTAAGACCTATTAAACCCTGGATTACAGTAGGAATTTTAAAATGTATACGAAATCGTGATAATTTATTTAAAAAATATAAATCTTTTCCTGACAATAATATCATAAAAATAACATATACTAGATATCGAAATTATTGTAACTCCATGATTAAAAAAGTTAAAATGGCTTATTATAGAGATAAAATTAGTAAAGCAGGTAAAGATAATAAAAAGCTTTGGGAAACCATTAAAGAGATATCAAATACCACGAAAATGAAAACTGATTCCACCGAACTGCTTAACAGCGCGAAGAAACCTCAAGAGGCTATCAATTCAATTAATAATTATTTTGTAAATGTAGGTAAACAACTTGCTGATAATATTGCAGTTAAGGAAAGGGTTACAAGTTCTTTAGCAATTAGATCAATACAGAACTGTACGTCGTCCTTTGTAATACTCGAAACTGACGAAGAAGAAGTTTCCAGACTCATCATGAGCCTAAAAAACAAATGTGCTAATGGATGGGACAATATCTCTAACTGTTTTATAAAAAAAATTAAAGAATATATTGTTGGGCCATTGACATATATATGTAATCTTTGTTTTAATGAAGGTGTATTTCCTCAAGTTTTTAAACGGTCTATTATTCATCCAATTTATAAATCTGGAGACAGAGAAAATGTCGGCAACTATCGACCGATCTCAATTCTTCCATGTTTTTCGAAAATAATTGAACGAATTATAAACAAACAACTCACGAACTACTTAGAAAGTAAAAAACTTCTATCCCCTAACCAGTTTGGTTTTCGGCAGGGCAGATCCACTGATGAAGCAGTGAACGACTTAACAGATTACGTAGTTAAAAATTTGGACAAAAATAATAAAGTTATTGGAATATTTTTGGATCTCGCCAAGGCGTTTGACACTGTGTCTACCTGCATTCTAATAGAAAAGTTGGAATTATGTGGTATTAGAGGAAAGCAACTTGCTCTATTTAAAGATTATCTATGTGATAGAACACAATGTACTAAAATCGGAGATTACATTAGTCACGAGGCATTAATTAACTACGGTGTGCCCCAAGGCAGCATTCTAGGTCCCACATTATTTCTCGTCTATATAAACGATCTCACTTCTATTCAGCTTCCTTATGGACATATAATATCATATGCTGATGACACATGCCTTCTTTTTTCTACAAATTCCTGGGAAGCTGTTCAGAGCTGCCCAGATGGGGCTTGATTTGATGAATGAATGGTTGCAAAGTAATTCTCTTACCTTGAATTCTGAAAAAACCAAATATATTGCTTTCACAATACGTAAAGAACGCCTTGATCATATTATCAATAAACCACTGATCTCACACAAATGTCTCTCAAATATTAATATAAAATCATGTAAATGTAACAAAATAGAATTAGTCCATAACATTAAGTATCTTGGTATAATAATAGATTCCAACCTTTCTTTTAAAAATCATATCGAAGTATTATCCAATAGACTATCTAAATTAATATACATATTCAAAAATGTACGCCATGTGCTAGATAAGACAGCTTTAACACGTATCTACTATGCCCCAGCGCAAAGTCTTCTTACTTACTGCATCACCTCGTGGGGCGGTGCTCCTAAAACAAGTATGAAGCGCGTAGAAATATCACAAAGGGCCATTTTAAAAGTTTGCGGATTCTTCTCTTATAGACATCCAACTGAACTTCTTTATCGACACTGGCAGGTACTAACGGTACGTC